TGTATAACAAGTGGGTGAAGAATTTCAAATAGTGGTTTACTGCACCCATTACCAAGACATTATACAAGTTCTTTCAAGATACATGTAACGAAGCATGAGGACTTCTTCATGGTGCATAAACAAAGTTTCATTCATACAAGTAATGCAAAAAAACCTACGATAAGTTATTGTCTTATGCGTTGCAGAAGTTAAAAATTCTAAAATAATAGTGTGTACATGAAGCAATGATAGCATTCATAAATGAAATTCAAGACATTGCATTCAAAACTTTAAAACTTAAACAATACATAGCTTTCACAAGGTGATTATATCACTCCAAAGATAATATTGCCACTCATGTTACAAGTTCTGTCGTTGCAAGGGTGGCATCCGATCTTGGCTTGAAGAGAATCTGTTGGCAACATCTGCATCATGGTTTGAGATCTTGACCAGATCCTAAGCAATGCAGTCAGCACCAAAACTATCTCGTTTGGCAAGTCACAATCTCCAAGCTACTTAAAATCCTCGCACCAAATTTACGAGACACACATGAAAAGAATGAGGAAAATTGGTTAGCACACTAAAAACATACATGGAAAGAGCCATTCGCATTTTTTATTTGGAGTAGGCATAGACTTCGTATGCAAATAGTATAATCAAAGATTTCGAGCATTGCATAAAGCTTTACAAGTGATTCAAATACAAAGAGGCAAAATACACATTGTCATGGCAAGTTCACAAATGCAAGACCATAACATAAAAGTTACTAGGGGAACTTTCAACAACAAATATGGAGCAGAATACACAACATACCATACAACAAGCTATGATAAAAAGAAACAATATCAGACGTCCAGCAAAAAGAGGATCCAAATACCACCAAGTTTCGAAGCTTGCGCGCGCACAATTTGACAATGAAAGAATGCCTTGGAACCTTGAGGAGAATGATAGATAAAGTTCATCTCTGCCTCAGTCCCTCAAAACCAATGAGTGTAGTGTTATGCAAATTTAAATACCCTGTAACAATGCCATCACAAGATTCCAAAGTCAACATCATTTTGGAGAAACAATTGACATTCTAGATAATTTTTTTTGACAAATTTTATACCTTTAAGAAGATTTCATAAACTCCCAAGTAATGTGAGGCCAGTCTATGTCACAAGCCATGACCTTTTGGTTAAAACCTCTAAGCTCATCAATCCACAATCCTAGCTCCATGTTGCAAGCCTCCTTCACTAAGTCACATGAGCTTCATGAGAAGCTATTGAAGCCAAACCATGTACATCACAAGCTCAAAACAGCTGCACGAAAGAAGCAGAACACATGAGTGAAGGCATGACAAAATGACATTTATGCATTGAGTCAAAATGTCGTCAGCAAGTTCCTAGATGCACAAAACATAACAAGAATGCAATGCATCAGTGATAATATTTTTAACATAATGAGCAGGATAGTGTGATAATCATATAACCAAGCCAGGAAAAATCATCAAGGAATGCATTTATAGTTTTAACTTTTAACAGCAAGGTTCGCAACAAAACTCAAATTTTTTCAGAAGTATTTAAATAATCAGAGATGATGCAAGTCAGCAAAAATACCACGTCAGCATAAATCAAAGCAGTAAAATCAAATTAAACATTTACAAGCAGTGAAAAATCAAACAGAAAATACACATTCTAGATGCAATTTTCAGGCACTACAAACAAAAAACAAGATTGAATGCTCCTCATCCTGCATGAGGAATGCTCCTCACGTGTCTTTCCCACGCTCTCCACATGCTCCCCATGCGGGGACACGTCATCAACCAACTACCCATGACTTTAAGGCATTGGTTTCACACTCAAGAACAGGTCCTCCACCTCCCGAAGTCCACGGGGCAGTTGACACAGGACGAAGACGCGTGTTGGTTTTCCCTACGCACGTAGATCCTAATGTTGGGCCTAGAGATCCAAACTAATGCAGATAATTGTTGGCGCAACGCTGGGGGCTCATTATAAATACCCTCGTCAAGAGGAGGGTCAAGTATTCAAAAACTCACTAGCTTTCTGTACTTGCTCACTCTCTCTCTCTTTTCTCACTTTACCATCGGAGTGTCTTGCAGGTACACCCTCTCCCATTCTCCACCACCGATGATTTAGAGCTTACGACGTGTTACTGACTGTCGATCCCCTTTCTAATCCAGTAAGATCAATAAATAAATAAATATATATATATATATATATATATATCCACACTGCAGTAATTTTCTAGGTCTGTCTCTGGTATAAAAGAGAGAAAAAATTAGATCTAATAGTTGATAATAAGGCATGATGGAAACATGAGAAAAATGGCATGAGAGGATCTAAATCTAATACTAGAATATAACAACAAAAATTAGCACATTAAACTACGAGTATTAGTTTTTATCACAACACCCACATAATAAGTCTTCCTACTCATTTTTATGGAAGTTATTGTCACCCTTTTTTTCTTATTTTTCTTTGTTATAGTATAACTATCAGTACCACATAATGTACGAGTTGATGAACACCAACAAACATGGTTTTCATAAAGATTTTCAACTATGTTGGAATTGAGATTATTGACTTGGGTTCGTGAACTTTGACATAAGAACACATGCAAGTCAACTTGGAGAAGATAAGAACATATGCAAGTCAAAGGAGATACACAAAGTCAACAACGGTGGTGGTCTTAGTCAACAGTGGTAGAATAATGTGTTAAAACAATCTTGTGCTTTTTAAGAGTCAAGAAAGAAAAATATTAAGTTGGTTGTAAGAAAATATTTTTGTAAATTTTTTTATTATCGAGGAGAGTTATTATTTACAATATAGGGACACGTATAGATACATGTTTATAAGTCTCAATTAGTTCATAACTTTGTAACTAATTTCAAAAATTTTGTAATTAATCTCACAAACTTTGTAACCATAAAGTGTGTAACTAATCTCACAAACTCTGTAACTAACCTTACAACTATAATATGAATTATAAATCCTCAACATAGTATTATTGGTTTGGTTGACGATAATGTTGGCATGGAAAGAAGATGAACACGACAAAACCATGATTTGTATGTGATTTTTCATTTTTATTTATTAGAAAAGAACTCATAAGTGGCATTGTTTTAGACATCAAATATCCCCAATCATCTACAAATATTAAAATGTAGAGTAACGTTGGAGTCACATGATTCGACAATCCATATCATGTTTCATGAAGTAGGGGATATATTAGGTACATCTTGTTTTGTTGAGTAAGAAAATATGTGAAAATTGAATGTTTGATCTGCATGTCACCTATTTAAAAAATTATTCCCACTTTGGCATCCCTTGAAAAATAATTTTCAATATGCCACTTTTGGCATATTTTTACTTTTTAAAAAAAAAATTTTTTTAAAGTAGATGGTGGAATGTGTTAGTCCCATGAAAGTAAATAATTTTTTTCCCTTTTTTCTTTTTTCTTTTTTTAATTTTAATGAATATATTAATGATTATTAATAATTATTTTAAATATAAAAATTACTAAATAAGTTATTAAAAATTAAATTTTCTTTAAAAAATATTTTTAAACAATAAACTTATTAATGAAAAAATAAATAAATTTAATGAGATTTTATTTAAATAGGCATTGAGAAAAATATAGATGAAATATACTATTAAGGGGAATGCTATCAAGTGCCCTGAGGGCACTGGTTAAGGATCATTAAATTAGCTATGGTCCCACCTATTTTATTGTGAAATGAACAACAATAAATTGTTAATTAAAATTGAAACGTGTGGTATACACTACTCTCCCATATTAACAAGACTTCCTATCAAAAAGTGACTACACGCGCATCTGACTCATTCTTTCTCTTTCTTAAAAAAATTGTTTTTTATTTTGTTTGTAGCCATAGTAAAAAAAATTTAGAATAAATATTAAAAAATAAAGGTAAAACGTTTCAACTAGCTAATATTTTAGCGGGAACCCACTCACATCCACTCACTCTACAATATATACTGTACACAAAAGACAAATGAAATTTTTGTTGGTTTTCTCTACTCACAAATTTTCAGTAGAATGTTAATGAGAATGGAAATCTAAATGCTTCAATTCAACACAAAGGCAATCAAATTCATGCTTAACAGGTAATATTCTTAAACTTTAATTTAATTTTTTTTATATGTATGATATAGTGTTTATAGTAATATACTTATTTGTATGATATAAAATTGTTATTTGTAGATAGTAATATAAAAAAGTTAATTGTATGATAAAGTGTTACTATGTATATAGTGATATAATTATTGTTTTGATATATTTGTAGATGATAATGGCATAATGGATATTAGTACTTCTATAGACATGAGTAACAACAATATAAGAAATTTTGATTTGAATGAATGTCCAATGGAAGATTTTCTGTGGAGAATGATTATTCGGAAGTAATCGTTGAACATTTCGATTGTAATATTGGGGAGAAAGACGTGTTAGAAGGTGACATTATTAGTAGTATTAAGAAAGAAAATCTTGTATCTTCTAATCAGAATGTTGAGATCAATGAGTTTTTAGAAGAAGTTGATAATGATGGAGCGAGTAATGAGACTAATATTCTTCCTTTTGTTGGTCAATTTTTTCTTAGTGAAGAAGAAGCATTTGTCTTTTACAAGAGATATGCATATCAACATGAATTCTCAATTAGAAAGGGTAGATTCATCAAACAAAATGGAATTATTAGCCGGCGAGATTTTTTTTGCCATGGTGAAGGTAAAGTCCCCTTGAAAATCATAGAACCATCAAAAGAACAGAGAAAAAGAGAAACATCAAAGTGTGAATGTAAAGCTCATTTGTGAATTTTATTACAAAAGTCTCATGATATATTTCCAAGTCAATGGCGAGTTACAAAGTTTGTTGTTGAACATAACCATGATTTGCTAACCCAATCAGAGCTGGGTTTTTTATCGGCTTATCGAACTATCTTAGAAAATGATTATGAACGCATTTTCTTATTAAAAGAAGGAGGGCTTTCAGTTAGACAAATAATGCGTGTCATGGAGCTAGAGAAAAATGTGAAGTATGGTTATCTTCCATTTATGGAGAAGGACATTCGCAATTTATTTTTGAAAGCTAATAAAATTTTTGAAAGAAGTGATGTTATGGACCTTCTGAAGTATTGTGAGGATACAAAAAAGAGTTGTTCTAAATTTCAATATGCTTATACTCTTGATGAAGAAAGAAGGTTAGAACATATTTTTTGGTCTCCTGCTTCTTGTTTTGATTGGTACAAAAAATATGGCGATGTTGTTGTATTTGATACTACATACAAGGTCAACTCATATGAAATGTCATTTGGTATATTTGTGGGTATGAATGGTCATGGAAAGACTATACTATTCGGATGTGCACTCTTACGAAATGAAACAACATCCGCATTTCGTTGGTTAATGAAGGTAATTTTTATACTTACATTTTTTTCTTTATATAGTTGATGCTTTTCATTTAATAAAACAAATGTAAATGTTTCTAATTATAATTTTTATTAGACATTCATATCTTTGATGAAGAAGCCACCAAAAACTATATTAACTGATCAAGATTTGTGGATGAAAGAAGCAATCTCAAAAGAATTGTCATCAACAAAACATAGTTTCTGCATATGGCACATCACTTTTAAGTTTAGTTCTTGGTTTAATGCTATACTTCGAGACAAATATGCAAAATGGTGTTCTGAGTTTTATGAGTTGTATAAGTTGGAGACACGTGATGTGTTTGAGCATCAATGGCCGAAAGTTGTTGCTAAGTATAACTTGCAATCAAATAAACATGTGAAAGGATTGCATGAAATCCGAAATTATTGGGCGTTCGCTTATCTTCGTGACTATTTTTTTGGTGGGATGACAACCACCGGAAGATCAGAGAGTATCAATGCATTTATTAAAAGATTCATCAATTCTCACACAAGTTTAACTGACTTTGCAAAACAGGTATTATGTACTAATATTTTCAATGCATTAGTTCTTATTGTTTCTAATCTTATGTATTAACTAATTTAAATTAATTCCAGGTTGATGTTGCAATTGATGATATTAAACAAAAAGAAGAGCATGATATAATGTTGGAAAAGTGCAAGGGATCAACTATGAAGTTGATTTCACCCTTACAAGAGCAAGCTCACAGTGTTCTCACACGTTTTGCTTTTCAGAAGTTTCAAGAGGAATTTGAAAGGTCCATTCAATATTCAATTCATCATGAAAATGATAATATGTTTGTGTTGCGGTATTATAAAGATGTTAACAATAGAAAACATGTAGTCTTTTGGGATGGTAAAATAGCTACATGTAGTTGCAAGAACTTTGAATTTTGGGGGATATTATGTCGTCATATTCTCAGTATTTTTCTTCACAAAGATTACCATGAATTTCCTTCTAACTACATGCCATCGCGGTGGCGGCTTCAATTACCACTCAACGATGATGAAATAGAGCCCCAAGTTAATGTTGTCATTAAGGAAGAAGCAATCGATTGCAACAATGAAGTTCATTGTCCTCCAAAGTCTAAACCAAAAGGTCGTCCCAAACGAAGACGTCTTAAAGGTGGCAAAGAGTTATCACATAACATGAACACTTGTGGATTATGCAAAGGTCAAGGACATAACATTGCTACATGTCCTTTAAAAGAGAAAAAGAAGAATAACAACAAGAAGAAGAAAGTTTGTGAAGATGCAAATTTAAACCCGATTCTTCTATCAAAAGTTTAGTCTTATTTTGTTTAAGTTTTTTTCTGGAATTATTTTAATATTTAACTATTTGTGTTTGTGTTTGGTACTGGTAGTTTTGTGAGTACTATTATTTGGCTATATATTTGCCTATTAATTTGTAGTTTAACTTTTGTTTCCAACTTTTAAGGAAAAAAGTTTCCAATATTTATTTAGCAAAAGAAAAGAAAAAATGAAACGACAACAGTGGCGCGTGAGGTGTTAATTTAGCATATGATAATAATAAGTAGCTTTAAATATGACAGTCGTGTAAATCTTTAATATTTTAATTATTAAACTTAACAATTGTTTATTTCAAAGTTAAATGGGTGGGGCCATAGCTATATTAATTCTCCTTAAACAGTGCTCTCAGGGCACTGGATAGCAGAACCCTAATATTAAATATTACAATATGATAATTGAAAATGTAACAATTAATTAATTATCTTCTTGATCTTGTTGTTTCACATCTTTGTTATAGTAGTAACTATCAGTACCACATCGTGTGCGAGTTGATGAACACCCAATAAACATGGTTTTCATAAAGATTTCCAACTATGTTGAAATTTAGATTATTGACTTGGGTTCATAAACTTTGAGATGAGAACACATGTAACACAACTTCGAGAAGTTAAGAACACATGCAAATCGAAGGAGATACACAATGGCAACAATGATGGTGGTCTTGGTCAACAGTGGTAGGATAATATGTTAAAACAATCTTGTGTTTCTTGAGAGTGAAGAAAGAAAGAGATTAAGTTTGTTGTAAGGAAATATTGTTGTAGAAAATTTTATTATCGAGAGAGGAGAGTTGTTATTTACAACATAGTGACATGTATAGAGATACATGTTTGCAAGTCTCAATTAGTTCACAACTTTGTAACTAATTTCAAAAACTTTGTAATTATTCTCACAAACTTTGAAACCATAAAGTGTGTAACTAATCTCACAAATTTTATGATTAACCTTACAACTATAATATGAGTTATACATCCTCAACATAGTGTTGGTTTGGTTGACAATGATGTTGGCATGGAAGGAAGATGAACACGACAAAACCATGATTTATATGTGATTTTCATTTTTATTTATTAGAAAGAAACTCTTATGTGGCATTGTTTTAGACATCAAATATCCCCAACCGTCTAAAATGTTGAAAGGTAGAGTAACGTTGGCGTCACAAAGTTCGACAATCCATATCCTATGTCATGAAGTGGGGATAAGTTAGGTACATCTTTTTTTGTTGAGTAGGATAATATGTCAAAATTGAATGTTTGATATGCATGCCACCTATCTGGAAAATTATTCTCACTTTGACACTTTTGGCATATTTTTAATTCTAAAAATTTTTTTTCTTTAAAGTAGATGGTGGAATGTGTTAGTCCTATGAAGGGGGTCTGTCATTTGAAATTGAGTAATTCTTTTCTTTTCTTTTTGTTTTTTTTATTTTAATGAATATATTAATGATTTTTAATTATTATATTAAATATAAAAATTACTAAAAAAAGTTATTAAAAATTAAATTTTCTTAAAAAAATATATTTTAAAACAATAAAATTTATTAATGAAAAAATAAATATATTTAATGAGATTTAGTTTAAATAGGCATTGAGAAAATATAGATTGAAATATAATATTAAATATTACAATATGATAATTGAAAATGTAAGAATTAGTTAATTATCTTCTTGATCATGTTGTTCCACATCTTTGTTATAGTAGTAACTATTAGTACCACATCGGGTACAAATTCGGACACGCATACCACGATTGTACGTTTGTGTTGAAGTAGGTGGAGGAGGGACCGGAATTGTAGACTGATAGGAGGAAGTATTAAAAATTGGGAGTGTGCTGGTGTTAAGTGTGAATGGATCAGAATCCTCGAAATTCAAATTCGCAGGAAAGTCGTTAGGTAGTTATGTGAATGAGGTGGGAGGTGGTAGTTGTATGAAGAGGTTGATGGTTGTTAAAGGGGGTTGTAATAATCAAAGTAAGGACGGGGTATTGGTGTGTAGTTTAGGGATGAATGAAGATATGGTTTTGGTGAAGTTTGATATATGTAGTATGTTGGTTGATGGGGTGTTTGATATGTGAATTTTTTGGTTGTTGTCGTAGTGTTTGGAATGTTTAGTTAGTTTGTTACAATGGGTGTATTGTGTTTGAATATTGAATTGATGGGTGTATAATGGTTGTTGTTGGTATGACTGTTGGTAACAATTAGATGTGGATGGTTGTGAATATGGTTGGTTATATGTGCTTCGGGTTTGGAGGTTAGAGAATGTTGGTCGTGGTGAAGCTAACATGTTTGATGTAGAACCATGAATATGAGGTTTTTTGTCTGCTTGATGTGTGTGTATATGAAAATGATTTAAACCAAGACATATAATCTTGACTTGGCATTGCTCTTCTTTATATAACGCGGTATAACCATAATCTCGTGACTATCGCATAGTCATTTTATGATATTCTTTAGGAATTTAGGGTGTTGGGTATATCTTGTTAGTACTGAAATTGCAATTTCACCCTATCATATTGGTTCAATGATCCAAAAGCATATGATATGTGTAGTTGTATTCCAAATTAAGCTATCATTATAGTCTTATGATAGAAATTAAGATATTGCATTCATATAAACTGTTATAGTACAAATATAATATGTTATTGTAACAAAATTGATTTTAATAATTTATAGAGAAATGAGTAATGATAGATATATCACGTTGTCTGGCTGCGTGTGATCTATCTCATATCGATAACCAACAAGATAATGATGAGGATTATTCATGTAGTGTTTTCCGTGGTACCCCATTTGTAAACAATTAAAATTAAAATAATTTAAACACTTTGAAAAGGGTACTAAACAAGCTTTTCTCGACTTTTAGTCCTCAACCTGAAGTGGTATTCACTTGCTGGAGATTGATATCTTAGCGTTGATCGAGAATCGCAACAAGCTTCTCAAATAAATGGACGACCACCTGTTAGAAAATGAACTGGTGTTGACTTTGATATGTTGAATTACAACAAGCTTCTCTGTCGGAAATTGACTGAAGAGATTGTCAATTGCTGCGGAAATAAGAATTGATATTGCTGGGAACGAACAAGCTTCTCAAATAAAGAGACTGGCACTTGTTGTTTAACGAAATCTCAGAGATTACCAGGGTAATAAATGTTGCAAAATTGGATTATTTATCCACTGAATGGGTCTTCTTTGCTGAGGAAAACAGGATCCAAAAGGTGCAAAACATGCATTTTATGTCATCTATGTTCGTAGCTTGGAGAAGTAAAAAATTGTTGCAGGGGACCAAAGTTTAATCCAGGAATGAACTAGAGATAAATGGTCAAAGAGAACTCTACCCATGGAAAAATGAACTCAACTGGGAATTTGTTCCATCCAGACAAATGAGCTGGGAAGGAAAACTGAAACACATTTCTTCCACGAGGCTTAATCTCAGTGGGGAGACAAAAGATGAACTCTCTTTGGGGAAAACACCAACAGGAAAGTGAATTTGAAAATACCAAGGACATGCGAATGAACATGAATCTGCGTTCGCCTATGCATGAATGCTTTATGAATGCATGAATGCATGGAATGTTATGCTGATGCTAAAAAAAATAACCCACTGAACAAACTAGGAAATCGAAATCAAAGAATTGGATACTCGGGCAAATCTCAACTAGATGGAGACTCTGCTACAAAGCATATCTTCTGTCTCATCTTCCAGGACGCAAGATCCTGCGCTGGAGATAAAAGATTCGCTGGAGAAACTTGAAACAAAAAATATTGAAAAATAAACAAATCTCCGAGGACATAAAAACTTTGCTGGTTTTGCTATGAGAGAAACCCAATATCAACATTGTAATACCGAAAATGATTGGAGGAAAACCACTATCCGACAACGAGTCTGTTGGGGACAACAAATTTATCAAGCTATGAATTTCAATACAGGGGAATCTGAATTCCACACTTCAAGACTTTACCAATCTTGAACAAAGGTCGGCGTTCCTTTTAGTTTAATCATGAGTCAAAGGAAAACAGTTTGTAATTTTCAAAAAAGCATGTTTATTACTAAACCTTTGTTTCAAAAGTTATTATAAAAAATAAATGACATTTTGCAAGAGAAACAAATATAAGAATTGAAATTAATTGGAAAGAAATCAGAATTTTATTGATAGAATGGTAGTCCGCAAATGACGTGACTCCATGGATCATTACAAAGTTTGGAAAATGGTAAATGAAAAGGCTACATTGAAATACAATGGCCACTATTCTCCCTAACGACTTTGAATTCTTGTAATCAAGCTTCCGTTGAGAGAGATTGAAGTGAGAATTCCTTATTGATGATGCAGCTGCTTCAAGTGATCAAGTCTTGCCTGATGCAGTTACTTGCAATAAAATCCCTAAAAATTTTCTAGATTTTCCTTTCGGGCTTTCAATCTATCAGGATGAGTTATCTTTATTTATGTCTCTAATTTTTTCCTGGACCATCCTATCGGGTTTTCAGTCCACCTAGACGCTCATTTTTGCCTAACTCACCCCTTTGGGTTTTCAACATAGCGAGTTGTTCTTTAGATTATTTAGGAAAAGTATTTCTTGACTGCATAGGCATTCACCGGACGTGGGAGCTCCTCACCATCCATAGTCATAAGGATCAATGCACCTCTAGAAAAGGCTCTCTTAACAACATATGGGCCTTCGTAATTGGGAGTCCACTTGCCATAGGAATCATTATGGATAGGCAAGATCTTTTTTAGCATGAGGTTGCCTTCTTTGAATTCACGAGGACAGACTTTCTTATCAAATTATTTCTTCATTTTCTTTTGGTACAACTAACCATAACATAAGGCTGTCATTCTTTTCTCTTCAATTAAATTCAATTGGAGATATCTGTTCTGACACCATTCAGCTTTTGGCAACTTGGCTTCCATTAATACTCGCATTGATGGGATCTCAACTTCTATATGGAGCACTGCTTCCATGCCATGTTGAAGTGTAGACAAGCGTC